GCTTAGCTTGTTCTGAAATGGCTATAGGGCAGACCATATATGTACATAGTATGATGTGACTTCAAAAATCTGTTAGACTTTATTTTCAAATTGCCGGATGTAAGTCATTAACTCTGTTGGATGCCAGCATTGTGTGTTTCTAGACACTTATCTGTAACTACTTACTATGAAATACGCTGTCCCAAGCCAAAGCTGGCTTCTGAAGTCTGGTCCGAAACAGTGGTGAAAATGTTGGCAGATAACCTTTCAGGACTCTGCCTCGAGTGGAACTGACATCACACCTGCGTTGATTGTATTGTCAAAGTGTTTGAAATTCCTTCACTGAGCTTGTTACGTGGAAATAAAATGTGGTTGATTTTAAAAGCTGAACCTTGTCGCCTGTATTTTGGTCTGTGGTCTTCAGGCTGTCCAGCTCCTCTCAAGGTTGACCAGCTCCATCCCCTCGCAGTACGAATGAGGCCGTCGGGCTTTGTGCTGTGGAGAGAGCGCTTTCATCTTGTGCTCCCAGCACTTCCCTCGGAGGCTCCCTCCGATGCCAGTGTCACCCTCCCCAGGGTGGAGTGAGAAGGGGTGCAGCCTTGGGCACCTGCACCCTGCCTGCACACCAGTGCTGGGGATGGAGCAGGCACGGCCCCTCCAGCGCTCCCGTATGTACAAGCCACAGCTACTTCTGTGGTAGTAGCCACAGCTACTCACCGGTTGCTGCCTGGAAAGCTGATGGAGGAGGGGAAAGGGCGTCCATGGGATGGGCTCCATGGGCCAGCTCGACACCGAGATATCGCTGGCTTTTCCCGAGTCCACCATGGGGTCGTTCATGCTGCTAGAACTTGTGTCCCAGTCGTAATGGAAGCTGGGAAGAAAAGTCATCGGTAGTTAAAAGAAGGGGAAGGAGGGAGGGAGAGTCAAGCTGTTGCTGATAAAGCAGCCTGGGGGCCTCAGGAGCAGGACCCTGCTCGCAGGAACTTTGCTCCAGCGGATGATGTGCTCGCTACACTGACTGCGTCTGTCTGCAAACACGGTCCCAGGTCCCCGCAGCAGCGCTGAGCTGAAGCGCAGCAGCAAAGGGCGTCGTTCCCGAGCTGTGGCCGTGCTCTCGGCTCGCCCAGCCCCAGGGCCTGACGGTGGGGGTGTCCCCGGCTGTAGCGCCCTTTGCTCATGAAACTGCTCATTTGCTCCAGGGCCCTTTTTCCATTTACACCCCTGGAAGCTGATTATAAGACTTTCTCATACGCACACACAACCACGGTCTTTGCTGCAGATGTGAACCGTTCTCCCGTTAAACCAGTCCCCATCACACAAAGCTCCTTACATGGGGTGGGAGAGAAAGAAACCACTTACTTCCCCTTGGACACCAAAGGATGCTGCTGTGTCGAAGCTCCCCGGTGCTGTTGATAAGCACAGGGAGGCCAGCACATGGCTGGGCATTGGCTGCAAAGCAATGCTGCCGGGGCAGGCTGCTGTGCCCCCCAAACCTGCCCCCTTCTCTGCTTCACCCCCGCCCACCGAGCAAATTAAAGACAAGACCTTGCGACACAGGCTTGACAAACCACCCTCTACCTGGGCCGGCACGGCGGGCGGGCGGGCGGCACCGGGCGCTGCTTGGCGCTGCCGGTGATGCCCGAGTCCTCCCGGCAGCTGCAGCAGCCGTTGTCCAAGATCTGCAAGTGGAGCAGCTCCTCCGAGTTGCTGAAGGCCGGGTTGTCCAGCGAGCTGGCCGAGGGCAGCCAGGAGCGGGACCAGTACTGGGCCGAGACATCGTCCAGCCGGCAGAACCGCCGGTAGCTGCGGGGACAAGGCGGGGGGCTGCGGCAGTGCCCGGCACCCCGGCGGGCGGGCACGTGCGCATCCACACGCAACCCAGTGCCTGCACTTGCAAGCGCAGATGGCAGGTTTCCACCCAAATTTCACAGCACCGGGGCAGGGCCCAGCCCCGCGCCCTGGGTGGGGGCAGAGCCCATGACACCAAACAACATCTGGCCGCAGCCCCACGGCTGTTGCAGTGGTTTCCTCGGGAACAATCCCCCACGGCACATTACAAAACCCTGTCCGGGAGTGTGGAGGGGCCAGGACAGCTCCCAGACGAGCTGCTTTGGCCGTGCCGTGCCGGATCCCCGCTCCCCACCCGCAGCCCCGCCGGGCTGAGCTCAGCCCGGGTGACCGGCACACGGCCGGGCGGATGGGCCCTGTGCTTCCCCACGGGAGACACTGGGGGGGGTCCCTGGGACCGTGGATTTGGGGACTCATCAGCACATCTCACCCCTGTCTCCACCACGGCGCGGACACTGGGGGGGTCCCTGGGACCGTGGATTTGGGGACTCATCGGCACATGTCACCCGTGTCTCCACCACGGCGCGTGCGCAAGCGGCACAGCCCGCGGCCCTTCGGTGCGACCGCGGCCCCATCCAGCCCCGCAGCCCCCAGCACGCCTTTCCCGCCCGCACGCTGCT